ACCAAAGTCTTGTGTCCAAGTCTTGAAAATTGTACGATCATTTGCACATGAAGCTTGATTCGCATGACAATATTCCATTGATGATGCGTAGCCTTGATCTTGATCATTTTGAAAGCTTGACTTTTTGCAAACACGGAATGAGCTTAAATCTTGTTGACATCATCAAAACCTTGAGATTGAAGTATGCTTCTACACATAGGCTAAGGGTCAGTATTCCCTATGTGCCCAAATCAATTTAACAGAGTATCTCAAATAAAAAGCTTTAAGAACGAGAGACAATTGCATAGAATTATAGATTAAAGGGTTCATAAAAAGTTAAATCAACATATAATTCAAAAATATTGAAAAAGGTTCATCACACACAACCTAACCTAGAGAAGATTAATTACTCATACTGAAAATTACAATACCAATTGAATAAAGAATAATCGCACATGAATTCCCTTGAAGAATTAGCCTTCAATGGCTTCTAATGCTCTCAAAATCATCCTGAATGTTGTAAAAATCGTACTTCTGATGCCAAAATTCGTAACCCTTACAAAAGTGTAGAAATTCCACTCAAAAAGAGCTCAGAACACGTTAGAAAAAACCCAGAAAAAGGCGACATCGCGCGCATTATATATGTATCACGTGCAATGTAGCTAGAACATACCTATTGCGCGGTAATGTTGCGCGTATTATTCCAGTAGCTGCACGTTTTTTCTCTCCTTTTCACCTAATTTTTTACTAAGTCCAATTTGTTCACACTTAGCTAATTATTCCTTATTCTTTGGTCTTTTTTTTCTTTCTTTTGCCTCATCTTTCACTTATTTTTCTTTGATTCATTGCCTAATTTCATGTAATGACGATTTGTCATCACAACCCCAAACTTGAATCGTTGCCTGTCCTCGAGTAACTTGCCTGCAACTACACATTTCAACAGAAAAAAGTCACACAATAACAATTGAACACCACCATATTTTTTTCGTTACTTGACCATTGTTCTAGCTTCCAGCTTCCATCAAGCAAATTCGAAAAACATTCTCAAACACTGACAAGTACTCAACCTATCTCTCAGCTCACTATGACTCACTCAATGGATAAAGTCATCTCTCAATCAACATGCAAAATAAATTATGCTTAGCTTGATCATGCTCTAAAATAATTCATCACAGATATCATAACACACACATTAGAGGTCTTTTCAGGTTGTAACTTGGCTTATGTTCGAGTAGAATATTTTTAGGAAAGTAGGTTTAAACCTTTGGAGTTAGGTGTCTAGTTCTCATTCTATTCTCATACCCCTTTGTTCTTTCTTAACGGTACTAGAGATTTGATCTTTATTTTATTTCATTTTTTTGAAGAAGCGTCTTTTTCCACTTCTTATTGTCTCAAAAAATTTGAATTTGTACCAATTTTCTCTAGTACCCCAACCCCAAACTTAGAAATTTTCTCACTTCCAAGAGCAACCCCAAACTTAATGTTTTTCATACAACTTAAGACTAAACTTCTACCTAACTCCAAAGAGAGGGTGGAAAGAAAGAATCTTTCAAGTCATATGACTAAGAATTTTAGGCTACCTCACTGAAAGAAAGGATAGACTCAAAGTGCTTAGAAATTGGATATTCCTATTACTACAATGTGGTTATAAAGGTTCAAAGTTATAAACAAGGAACTACCTCAGTGTGTGTTAATCAAACTAGATAAACTTAATCAGAAATAGATCAAACTAGATAAAATAATAATGCATGGATACACTCAAAAAGAAAGAAAAGTGAACACTAGAATTTATTTGGCTCAAACCTTACTGGATGAGGTATCTGAAGGTTGAGTATAAGTCCATTGATTCTTTTCTCATCCTTTGCCTTCAAGTTGCCACTTGCTTTCGCGATGATCAATTTTTTTTCTTGGATCATTTGCTCAATGCTAAAGTTATAACTTGTAAATATGAATAAAAAAATAAACAACTACGAGACTTGTTTATTAAAGACAATGATAGATAATACAATGGGAGGGGAATATCACTTATAACAACTATTTATCTTTTCTAGGTACATGATTGAAAATAAAAATAAAGATAAAGTATTCTAACAATAAAATAAACTACATGTCTTTTCACATATTATCATTGCAGAAAAGAGTCATGCATATCGTTCATAGTGTTGTTGAAGTCGTTGTTTTGTCGAGTCCATTCGGCACGCATGTGGTATCCCCTTCTTGCTTGTTCTTGATCTTGGTTGATGAAATAATTCTCTATCTCCTCAGTTGATGCAAACTGGGCTCTTAAACTTTGAGCCGACATATGGTCTTCTTGTTGATTGTAGAAGAATCTGAACACTAAAGCAAATCTAGGAGGGTCAACGTACAAAGTAGGAAAAACTTCTTCAATCCACCTTGTAACCCCCATGACATGAGCTTCCATTCTTCTTTGAAATTATGAAGCCAGTTGACCTTGCATTTTCTGTGGTTGATTTTGCATTTCTGGTTGATAGAATTCTTCATTATTTCCAGCTTGGTTGTCCTCTTGATCATGGTGAACGACTTCTCCTTTATGCATATTTTCCAACATCCTTATAACCGAAGTGTTGAGAGGTGCCTTCAACATAATAGTCTCATCTTTGGGGTACTCGGGTACACCTTCTCTTCTGCACAATTCATTTATAACACAAAAATTCGCACAAGCTCGTTGTGCAACGTTAGCTATATATTTGATATTTTTAGCAATTAAGTGCCCCGGGTTAATATGTTCCTATCTCAAAAGAGCTAAAAGACCTAAACACCGCTTCAAAATGAATTGTGATTAATTATATGCAGCTTCTAAAGTTTGCACAAAATAAGATGTCCAGGCCCTAGTAATTTGGCAGAAGTTGGCGGTTTTGAGTCGCAACATTAAGCCACGATCCACCGTCCATTTTGCTTCAAGTCTATAAAAAAGTTCAATTATTTCTTGGCCTAATGCCTCATTCATAATCTTATACTATTGTCTATAATTTCTAAGGGCACATGCAGGGGGGTTGTAAATTAAAAAGAGAGTTAATAGCAAAAGGAGAGTAATCTGTATGCTGCTCTTTCTTCCTCCTTTCTCATACCCTGGTTGTCTACTCAACCCCCTCCTTTTTAGGATATTAGGAGGTTCTATGCCAAAGGAGAGTAATGTTCCCCTCTTTTACTCCACCGACAGGAGCTTTGGTCGATCTGATAGTCTCCCGAGTTACCCCTTATTCGAGTTTCCTGTCATCTCGCAACACCCTTATCGTTCTAGGGTCCTGGAGCCTTGCAGATTGTTGGATTCAAACTCTTATTGTTACAATGATGAGACACCTAGCGCGAAGCCTTTAAGATGATGAGATACCCAACATTGATTGCCCAGAGGCAACGCCAGACCTGAGACACCTCTTGGGGGTGGTTCCTTCGGATCTTACTCGCGTCCGGGCTAGTTCTCCCTTCAGTTTTAATGAGGCTCAGAACGGAGGTGTAATTATGATGTATATAAGGTTATTAAACACAAGCTTTGGTGATTTATTTTTAGGCAATGAAGTTGTGGGGTTAATCGGGAGTTATTATTATTTATTATTTAACTAATGTGTAACTGGTATAGAGGTAAGTCGGATTAGGGATGACAAAATAGATGGATTGGATGGATATGAATTAGATTGTTAATGAATGGATCAAAACAATCAATTAATCAAACAACAATCCACTAAAATTTTCTTTAAATTATACAATCCAATCCATTTGTTAAGAATAAAATTCATCCAATCCATCCACTAACCTATTTTTAATAGATGGATATCCATCCATCCAATTTTTTTTTTTATTTTGAAAAACAAACGTATTTTTTTTTTAAAATTGTTTTTTTTATATTTTCAAAAAATCTCAATTTATTTTATTTTTAAAAATATTTTTTTTTATTTTTGAAAAATTAATTTTTTTTAATATATTCGTGCGAAAATTAAATTTTTTGTTTTAGAAAAAAATCATTTTTTGTCCTTTCGAAAAATTTGTATTTTCTAAAAAAAAAATCAATTTTTTGTACTTTCAAGAAAAAATTGATTTTTTTCGGGGAAAAATCGACATTTTGTGTTTTTAAAAAAATCGACTTTTTTATTTTTGTAAAAAAAACCGGTTCTTTTTGAAATAAATATTTTTTTTTTGAAAATTCTACTTTTTGTATTTTTCAAAAAATCGATATTTAATTTAAAAAAAAATCAGTTTTTATTTTTGAAAAAAAATCCATTTAATTTTTTTTTCTGAAAAAATTGTTATTTTTTTCATATAAATGGATTGTTTTAATTCGATTAATTAACTTATTTTTTATATAGTGAATGAATTAGATGAATTTTTTGATAGATGAATTAAATAGATTTTGTTTTAATAAATTCAATTGTCACTTGTCACTCGTTAAGGGAAATACAACTCTATCTTAATAGAGAATTAACGTGGTGTATAATATAGTGGATAGAATATTATTTAATTAATTTGTAAAAGAATGAAAAAGAAATATAACATAGTAATGGGGTTAGTTGGAGGTTATTTAATAAATTATTATTATAGGTGGAACGGAGAGAGAATAAAAAATATATTTATTATTTAATTAATTATTATAATTAAATTAGATAAAATTTTTATAGGAAAAGTTAGAATTATAATTTAATATGATTTGATGTTATAAGTCTTAAATTCTTTATCTTATTTATAATTTAATGGATATTTAATTTATCTAATTTTCATTTATAAAAAGAAGTAATGCTGAAATTTATGATTAAACGACAATTATAAAATCAAACCGTCCATACATTTTTTTTATTATTTATAAATAAATTCTTTTTATTTTAATTACATATGAATTATCAAATTTATCAAATTCCATTTTTATTATTCATATCAAACAAATTTGCAGCTTCCTTCGTTTAGGGTTTTGTTTCCCTTTCTTCGATTCATAACAACACATATCACTCTTCAACGCGCGGCCGTGGTCACGCGCCTCCTGTGTTTGGTTGAACACGCGAGCGAGATTCACCATGGGAGGTGACGGTGCTGTTGAGGATTCTGCATCGGAATCGAAGACCGGCGGTGAAGGTGTTAACATCAACGTTCGATGCTCCAACGGTTCAAAGTATTCCGTTCAGGTTTCTCTCGATTCCACAGTTGGATCCTTCAAGGATCTCATTGCGCGGAACTGTGATATCCCCGCACAGCAACAACGGCTTATTTACAAGGGTCGTATATTGAAGGACGATCAAACGCTTCAAAGCTACGGTAATTCTGTTTTCCGATTTTCCGATCTCGCTTACCGTTATTTGTTCATCTCCTTTTACTGTTTGATTCAGTTTTAGGTCATTTTTTAGTTAGTTTTTTTTTAATGAATTTAATGATATTTAGTTAGGTATTTTAGATTTATTCTATGGTTTAATGGGAGTATTTATGCGGATTTTGATGATTTGTTTTTAATTATTGAATTGATGAGTGGTTGATTTGTCAAAGAAAATGATTAACTCAAAATGTATATAGGTTATGGTTGATTAGGATTTTTACGGGGAATATGTTTATAGAAGAGAAGAAATTTATCAAACTGTTTATAATTGAAGATGTGGTGTTAGAGGTGCGATGTGAAGGGTGTTTTATTTTTACTCATGCAATTGGGGTTTTTAATGTATTGATTCTATTTTATATTTCTGAAAATGAAGCTTGGATTGGCTGGATAGCTTTTCAACTAGTTTCTGGTTTTGATTTGGAAAATTGTTAGTCTTTTAGGTCAAGTTCATATCACACATTTTGAGTCATCGACTATGAAGCACAGACACCTCTAGGCGTAGGTGTGTCGCGGTATCCGACACGTGTCGGTATCCGACACTTGTATGACACCCGTACGACACGTGTCAAAAAAGTCAGACAAATGTTGGATAAGTCAAACAAGTGTAGCCAAAAAAATATTTTTTTTATGATTCGACACTTGTTGAATAGGTGTCTGACACCCGTATGACACTGATACAACACGTGTCACACAATTCAGACAGGTTTTTCTAAAAGAAATTGTTTTTCTTTTGCTTCATCACACTTTATACATTTTTTGGCCAAATCTCATTCACTTCTAAAAGGGTTAAACATGTTTTGAAACGATGATATCAACGCAGAATTAAAAATATTAGTTTTGATTAGAATATTTTTAATTCTTTTAATGATAGAAGGATAAATGAAACTCAAATATTATCATATACATAGTGGTGTCGATGTCCTATACTTTTATATTATTGTTGTCGGAGTGTCCGTGTCGTGTCGCGGTGTCCGTTTCGGAGTCTCTGTTACATAGGTCATCGTTTATTTTTATACCTTGCAGCTATTTTGTTGATTGTTTCTGTCTCTCGACTGTTATAATAATTATAATAGAACTATATAGGTGATACGATTCTAATATTCACATAGTCCTTGATTGTGGCACTGTGTTTATTCTTTCTATTTTTGTTAACTATATAGAACTCTTATATATATATATCTGCATTTGCAATTTGTTATAGGTTTGGAGGCAGATCATGCTGTCCATTTGGTTCGTAGCTTTGCACCTGCCAACACGAGTGGTGGGACTGGGACCAATAGTAGTGGCACCAATACCACAGCGACTGAAGCCAGAGGCGCTGGAGCTAATGATGTTGGGGGTGTAGGAGGACTCGGTTTTGGAGCTTCACTGTTCCCTGGTTTAGGTACCAATGGCACTGGAGGAAATGGCTTATTCGGCGAGGGATTTCCAGATCTTGAGCAAATGCAGCAACCATTTATTTCAAATCCAAATTTAATGAGAGAGTTAATGAACACACCTGCTATGCAGAATCTAGTAAGTAATCCCGAGATAGTGCGGAATCTTATAATGAATAACCCACAGATGCAAGAGCTCATGGATCGGAACCCTGAGCTAGCACACATACTTAATGATCCCAGCACTCTCCGCCAGACCCTTGAAGCTACAAGGAATCCTGAGATCATGCGTGAAATGATGAGAAATACAGACAGGGCTATGAGCAACATTGAATCATCTCCTGAGGGTTTCAACATGCTGAGGCGCATGTATGAAAACGTTCAAGAACCATTTTTAAATGCCACTACAATGGCGGGTAATACAGCAACTCAGGGTGGCCTTGCCAGTGACCAATCAACTAATCCCTCGACCACTAGTTCTGAAACAACTGCTGGTTCTACCATACCCAATGCCAACCCACTTCCTAATCCTTGGTCCTCTACTGGAAGTAAGTTCTAACAAGTCTGCTCTTTACACATTTTTTATATTCTGATTTTATTGTTTTGAGGCTAGTATAGTGACTAATGCTGTAATTGATGGGTAACAAATGCAGCTGGAGCTCCTCAAAATAACACCAGAAGATCAACTACTGGTGTGGATGCTAGGCAGCAAGCCCCTACTGGCTTAGGAGGGCTTGGTTTGCCTGGCCTCGAAGGCATGCTGGGTGGCAGTGGTATGCCAGATCCTGCTTTATTAACCCAATTAATGCAAAATCCAGCTATCTCACAAATGATGCAAAGTATGCTCTCCAATCCACAAACATTGAGTCAGGTATCTACTTACTGTGCCTTGTACAAGATGCACTGTGCATTTCTTGACCTGGTTGTTCTAATATTTAATTTACCTTTTAGATTCTTGGGGCTGCTAATACTGAACAACGTGGTGGCATGCCTGATATGAATTCTCTCAGAGATGTGATGCAGAATCCAGAGTTCCTTCGTTTGTTTTCATCACCTGAGACATTGCAGGTAGACAGATTTAATCTAATGTATCTGTTGATGAGTTTCATTGAATGTCTTGTCCCAGGCATAGGACTGGGTATATGTCTTCGTTTTCTTTAATTATGGGGTTTGATACTCAGATTCTCAGTTTTTCAAATGCTGCCGCAGATGTTGCATGTAGTTTCTTTGCCAAGAACTCATACTTTATAGACCTAATTTGAACAATGGTGTCAATATGTTAAATGGTTGACTCCTGCCCAAGTATTGTTGATTGCAAATCTACACTTTTTTTCAGCAGAAATTTGTTTGTTTAAGACGTGTTTGTTTTACGATAAATTAAGTATATTGCTGCCATGTAATTTGGTAGATACTTGTTTTCAATTAATACATTCTCACCACCCTGTCTTATTACACAATGACAGCAACTCATGTCTTTCCAGCAAGCCCTTCTTTCTCAGCAAGGTCAGCAACAATCAACACGGTACGTAATAACACAACTCTGGTTTTTCATTCTCAGCTGACAATTTTTCGGCTATTCATGAAAGGACACGAGCTTCAAAAGTCTCAAGTTCTTAATCTTTTGCTTAACGATGCAATTATCATCTGTGCCCCAATCTCTTCTCAGCAACAATTAAGTTAACCAAAGAGGGGGTGTTCCTTTTGTCGGAGTAAAACTGGAAACTAGAAATACGATTTATATTTCAGAAATCTCAAAACTAATGTCGTTCCAACATCTAAAAGAAATGTGTTCCTTTATCAATCATGTTTCAGGTGTTTGAAAGTAAAATTTTAAGCTTTTGATTGTATGCTTAAATAAAAGTATAATAAATTGAAGTGCTATTCTTCTTAACAAATCAAGCTGGATGTTCCTTTTGTCGGAGTAAAACTGGAAACTAGAAATACGATTTATATTTCAGAAATCTCAAAACTAATGTCGTTCCAACATCTAAAAGAAACGTGTTCCTTTATCAATCTTGTTTCAGGTGTTTGAAAGTAAAATTTTAAGCTTTTGATTGTATGCTTAAATAAAAGTATAATAAATTGAAGTTCTATTCTTAACAAATCAAGTTGTACTTCTTGCTAGTGACTGACTTAGACAGAAAGTTTAAATTTTATGCAGCGGATATCATTGCTTAGAGTTGTTCGATAGTGGTTTACGTTCTTGCTTGCCAAACCTGTTATAATACAGTCTGCCCGTTCTTGTCTTTTAATTTTTGGTTAATAAATTTTTTGCTTTATTAATCTAGTATCTTGTTGCAGGGAATCGGGTCAAACTGGTGGAGGGACTGGTACACTATATAACCCCCCATTCTCTTGATTTTTGATAATTCACACTGTTTGCTTTTATGTTGTTTTGATATTTCATTGGCTATTCAAATTGTTTAACTATATCTTAAGATTATCCATCCATGCTTGAGTAGTTGAATTTAATGAATTATAATTTTTGAATCAGCCAATCATTGAAGAATATAATGGAGTTTTCTTCCACTTGTTCTTTGAATGAAGATATTTAGGTTGCAGTTAAACTAAAATGAGAATTTGATTATGAATTATACTTTGGTGGCGACTACCTCCGCAGACTGTTAGGCAATTCATAAAAAATACCCCTGTCCTAATATAAATGACCCAGTAGACCAATTCGCACACATTAATCAAACATATAAATGGGAGAGTACTTTTATCATAAATGGTAAGTGTCAGATATTGAGTTGGGGAGGGATGCAAGTAGTATTAGTTAGATGGTACAATTGGAAAAGTAATTAATGTTGTATTGAATATTGAAATGGCTCAATCATTCTGGTACAATTTAAAAAAAAATAAGTTAGTTGTTTTGGGACAGAGAGAGTAGTAGGTATGGATGTTTTCTTTTCAATTCATATTTAAGATGCGTAATTAATTTTGACGTGTTATCTTTTGGAGGGTAATGTGTAATAACAACTCTTTTGGCCTTATAATGTTCATCTGAATGGAGGGGGGAAGTTAGGTGGTGGTTATTTTGGATGATGTGCAAACATAAATTGTAACATTTCTTCGAAATCATTATCAACTTGTTTTATTGGCAGGACCTTTTAACAACACGGGGCTGGAGATGTTATCCAGCATGTTTGGTGGACTTGGAGCTGGTAGCCTAGCTGTTCCAAATAGATCAAATGGTTAGCATTGCAGTCTTCTATTTCTCTCAATATATTTCAGTTTGTGCTAATCTGTTGCTCATGATACTATTTAGGAATTAGGCTATGTTTATATATTTAGTTCATTATGGCACTGAATGGAATGAACGGGATGGTTTAGTGTGGAAAAGAATAAAATAAAGTTACCATTTAATATTTGGATATTTTAAGATGAAGCGGAAGAAAAGACATGTCTCCCAATAAAAAATAGGAAGAAAAGGGAGGTATTGGATGGAATGAAATGTATGCGATCTTGTTTCACTCTCTTATTTTAACAGTACAAGCAGTAAGACCTACATATTATGGCTTCATTCCATTTCTACAAGTCTTCATTTTAATTTTTGTAACTGTCTCCAATAAAAAAAATCTAATTGGTTCTTGCTTATGAAGAAATCAGGGAGCCTATTAGAAATTTTGAAACTGTAGGGACCATTAAAATTTGACAGTTCGGTCCCAATTTTCAAAATATCAGATTTGATCCTTTGCCTTATGAAGTTTCATCCCATGGATATTTTGGAATCACGGTGACCCACTTATAAACTTCCAAACATATGAAACTTAGATTAAGATTTTTAAATAGTCTGGGGACCTACTAATGAATTTGATATAGATTTTGTACTGCTCTCACTGACTTTTTGCATTCTCAGAGCCACCAGAGCAATTGTATGCCACCCAGCTTTCACAACTTCAAGAGATGGGATTCTTCGACACACAAGAGAACATTAGGGCTCTCATTGCCACTTCAGGGAATGTTCATGCAGCCGTTGAACGCCTTCTGGGGAATACCGGTCAGTAGAAGATAATTCAGCAAATTGCTTTTTTGTTCTCTACTGCAAGAGACTTTGGAGGTTGACCACTATGTTCAAGTGCCTTGTTGGGTATTTAAATAAAGTCAGAAATCTGTCCAAATTATAGTGGTCAGAGCTGAAATGGTGTAGATTATATACATTGTTACTGTTATCTCTTCCTATCCTTCATTTGAGTTCTGATGTTCCTATTTATTTTTCCATGTACATACTTATATTGATACTAGTTTATAGTTTTAAGATGCATTGTGAGAGCTTAAATATTTTTCAAGGGAATTGGTTTTTATGTTATTCATTTGTATTAGTACTTTGATAACTCTATTTATCACTGATTTGGCAGGTGAAGGGACATGAAATTAGTTCTCGAATGTGGTTTGAACCACTAATACTTCAAGTCTGGCCATGTTACTTTGAATTAATCTATGGATTATATTTATTTATCATTGGTATTTCTACTAAGTAGTTCAGGCTCCCACTCATTAAATAGTTTTATCCCAAAAATTAGAATTGGTTATGTAGATTAGATTAAATGATATTATAATTTTTTTTCCATTGTTTACAAATAAATATTTCTTCATGTTTTTCTTTACAAATATAACAGTTGTTTGAATTGATGTTTTTTATTTTGTATTTATTAATAACTTTTTAAATTCAATTTTAATGTAATATTAGGGTACTTTAAATATGCATTATAGCAACAACACTCTAATACCCATTTTGACAAATTGAATGAAGAATCCTATTCCTCTTTTCAATCACCATTGTAGCTCAAGCACAATCATTCAAGCACTATTGTTGCTTTTAAGCACCATTTTTTATCCGCAGAAATTCAGAAACAACAAAGCCTCCTAAAAACATGAGGTCATCATGGTTAGGAAATTTCAGTTTGAAATTCATAATAAAGATTTAGAGATCCATCAATTGGAAAAGAAGATTGAGGAGGCTGCCAGAAACGAGCAAAACTAGGGGTAACTAGGGGTGTGCATGGACTATAAATCAAACCAAATAACATATATTGTTTGGTTTGGATCTTAAAACTATTTATATAAAATCGATTTATTTTTTTAAAATTAGTTTACAAGTGGATTGGTTCGGTTTCAAATCGGTTTAAAAAAAAAACAATTTTTTTAAAAACTAGTTTTAAACCGGTTTCTCTCAAAACTAATTTTTTATTTTCTTTAAAGAAATCAGTTTTAAAATCAATTTTATTGCAACCTATCAAATAATTGATAAACCACCTGAAACTTATTCTACTTTAAACTTATTGCAAACTATCAAATAATTGATATAAATCAATTAATCAATTTTATTTCAGTTTTACATTGAATTAAATCAACACTCCATATATCTTAAACTTTAAACTACTCAATGTAAAACTGAAATTAGACTAATTCCTTTTCACCATGAATTAAATCAATTAATCGAGAAGTACGTTGAATTGATATAAATCAATTAATCGTTAAATTTATTCTACTTTACACTTATTGCAAACTATCTACCTTAAACTTATTCTACTTTAAACCAAATCAATTTTATTGCAAACTATGGGTGTTGATCTTAATTTTCCCAAACTATTCTGCCTTTTTTTTAAATCTTATTAAAAAATGATTACCGAATCTCAATCCGGTTTGAAACAAATGGTTACCGTTTTTTTTTTTAATTTGATAAATGGGCCACCAAATTTATATTATAAATTTGGACAGAATTTTAAAATTTGAATTAATTTGAATATGAATTTGGTTTATGGTTATCAGTTATTTTGCGCGCGCGCGCGCGCATATATATATATATATATATATATATATATATATATATATATATATATATATATATATATATATATATATATATATATATATATATATATATATATATATATATATATATATAAAAGCATTATTTATTACATATACATTACCTTAAATGTCATTTATGACCATGAAACAAAAAAAGGACAAAGAGTTTAAAAAATGGATTAACCATAGTTTTAAAAAGTGGAAACTGGTTTTTAATGGTTTTAGTATAACGAATTTAGACTAATTTTTAAACCAAATAATATGGACTTTTGAAATCAGTGCATCATATTTTTAAATTTGGTTCTTGTGAACCGGTTTTTTTCACACTCCTAAACAAAATTAGAAAATGATCTAAAGTTTAGAGGTTTCTCAACTAAAAAATCAGAAGATAAAAATGGATTGGAAGCAGCTGCAAAAGCAATTCATGATTTTTCTAAGCCTTTGATCAACACGATGAAAGAAGCTTGGTAGGAACCTTGATGCGGTTGCCAACTCAGTCGAACCAAATATTCTTTATGCAAAGAGAGCTCATAAGAAATATGCATATGAGTCTTTCATAAGAAATATGCATATGAGTCTTACAGGAAAGGATTTGGGATCTGTTGGTGATGGAAAACCACATTGTAGATGCTATATTTTAAATCCCCTTTTATCTCTAAAATTAATTTTAAAAGTTTTAAGTGACTAATATTTAAATTAATTTACTATAAAACTTAACTAAAATTATGAAATATTAATTTCTTCTGCGAAAAAAATATTATATAATTTATTTTAATTTTTTAAAAACAAAATTACTTATAACATTATAAATATTTATTAATAGTTTTTTAATTCTAATCATTAGTGTCATTTCATTAATAAAAGTTTTATTCTCATTATTATTGTCACATACATAAAAGTGGTGGGATAATGATCTGACCTGATCAGAAGGGGATCACGGGCTGACCACACGCTGTTGGACTGCTACCTGTTCACCGGTGATGAGGAGGAGAAGGGGGTGTACCTGCAAAACACTTCGATGCCAAAGTAAGGAGTTGGGCAGAGTGAGAGTAAAGTACAAAAAATGGGTAAGAAGTGAATTACCTGACTCTCTTGAGGAAGAGGGTATTTATAGAGAGACCCCAGCGCTGGGCCAACAGTCACTTGCGTTGGGCTGGGGTTGTCAGGCCCAACCCAGGTGACTGCTAGGGCTTACGTGGCGTAGTGAAGACCAGGACGTGGTCTTCGCCCTAATCCAACTGTCCCGAGATCTCCGAAAAGTGAGTTTGACCTGCTCTTTCGGAGGTGGGTAATTGGGGGGATGGCGTGTCCCCGCGGAGGGGGGCACGTGGAGAACGTGCGTATGGCACGTTGTCCTCTCCGTGGAGGGGAGTCCGGGAGATTCCCCGGGGGTCTGGCTTGATGGCATGGGAATACCGCCCGCGGAGGGCGGTGCTTGGTCCTTGGGCGATTCACTTACCCGGCGTGGTTGGGACGGTTCTCCCCCGCAGAGAGATCATTCTAACAAGTCGGGGATCTTGTGCCCGACGCGGTAGCTCGGACCGGGCAGGACCTGGTGGAACATTATTGGGTTGGGCCAGCATAATTCAGCTTGAGACCCAGTCCAGAACAGATAACAACAAAATCTAAAGAAAAGTAATATCAAAGGAAAAAAAATTGAGTTTTATATTGTCACATGTGTAAAAGTGATGAAAGTGATGAGGGAACAACATATTATAAAGAGAAGTAACTTTAAAAGACAAAAAAGGTAAATTTTAAAATAAGGAAATCAAAAAGTTAAAAACATTTAAATAAAAAAATTAAAAGTGCATTTAAGCCTTTTATTTATCTGATAATTTAATAGGTTAAAATTTCATGAAAAAATAGAATATTTTGGATTCAAATTCATAGGTTGAAATTTCACGAAAAAATAGAATATTTTGGATTCAAACTCTCATACAAACAAATGATTCTGCATACATAAATCGAGTTGATTTATTGGAACTCATCGCTAAATGAACCAACCTAATTATATTTAGGATTGCTTTTTTTCTTAATATGTATTGTTCATCTACCCAGTAAAATTTTAATGCCTCTAAAATGTAAATTTTAAAATCGGAACACATTAAAAAAATGCTAAAAATGAAAGATGTAAAGGCATTTTTTTTAGATTGGAATTTGGACCCGTTTCTCACCATACCACGTATATTTTAGATCTCAAAATCAAAACAACACTTATTAATCTAGATTCCAATTTCCGTAATTTTTATGTATTCTAATCTTCGTACGCGTTTGATTTATATCCTTACACTATGTCTTTCCCTTTTTCTTTTTCATTTCATAAACTTAATCAGAATTTAAAATAGAGTCCGTGAGTAAATTTCATTTTCATCATTTTTCAAACTTTCTTGCTATTTCTAATACATTGCATTAAAGCCTAGGACATCATCACGTAACCTCTACTCCACTCAATTTAATCGAAACTTCTTATTTTTCAAGCTTTCTCACGATTTGGTAAATTTTTTATTTCCTTCTTTTTTTTTTTGGTTTGTGATGAATGCATTACCTAAATAAATTGTTTATGGTTCATTTGATTGTAGTTAAAAGCATAATGAATTAATTTATGATGCAGGCATATACATTTTTTTTAAGTTTAGAGTGTATGAGTTTTGTGTGTTCGTTTTCTGCATCTCTGAATTTGCCTGGAGATTGGAATCTAGACCATGAGTTCGGAGAAAAATCTAGATTTTCTTGTTTTGCATTGCTTGTTTAATTTTGCATGTTCTGTTCTCTGGATTTGACTTCTTTGATTATGATATGATTTTTCTAGTGTAATTAGGGGTAAAATGTCTGACAACCAAATTAGATTAAGGCATGTAGAGTGGTCCAAAATGCTTTCATTTAGAGGGAAAAATTAGACCTTTTTGTCTAGACGTTGGTGCCATTTCATTTGATGCAGGTGCGTCATTTTCAGAGTTAACATGTCTCTGGCAACGTCCTTCCGGAGACACGAGTCCCCTATTGCTACCTATGATATCCCAAAATCCCTAGAAATCCATGTTGTTGAACCTCCTGTTTTTGTTCCTTATATTTTTTTAGGAGGCCCCCCAGGCCCGTCATTTCTTCCTTTGTATTCAGACCATGCTGCTAGGCACATGTGGAATGGAAAGGTTACATAAATATTTAATTATTATTTTAAACATCTGTGTTATAAG